ATTATATTCAAAATATTTAATTAAAAATAATAGATTTTAGAATATATTTAATTTTTATTTTAAAAATTATAAATTTTATATCATTTTTTTATTTAATGTCTAAATAACATTTGTTACTTGTTTGTTATAATTGCCAAATTTGGTGGCTATTTGTTAAATTTGATAATTATTTACTACGGATTTAGTTACTAATTTTGGTTGCTATTTTAAAAAAATACTTTTTCATCTTTAAATTAGTTAGTATTTGTCATATTTTTGTTTTGATTGCCAAAATTGATAGCTATTTTGTTACAAATTTTTTTTAATTGCTAAATTTAGTTAATATTTATCATTGATTTATTTCGATTGCTAGATTATGTAGCTATTTGTTACCTATTTTTTTCGGTTGCTAAATCTAGTTGTTACTTGTCACATATTTATTTCAGTTACTAAAATTAGTAACTATTTGTTATAAAAAAATTTCAGTTGCTAAATCTAGTTATTATTTACAATAAATTTTTTTCAGTCGCCACATTAATCACTATTTTGTTATTGTGTCATATCTTATGTATTAAACGAGCACTTGACAAATATGTAAAGTTTCAAACATGAATTAAGAACCATGTTTTCACTTTTTGATGCCACTGTCTCACGTTATTACAATGCTTTCTTAATTAAGTGCCGCAAAAATAGCATGTTATTACAGGAGTTCCTGAAAGAAGTGTTATAATAGATTTAGGGTATCACAATGATTTATTTAATTAAGTATTGTAAGTAAATATGTTGTTATCATAGCACTTTCATCTAGTAAGCGTCGTGATTGATAACTTTTTTACGGTGTATTGTAAGAATTGTAATATTTTTTTTACATATTATTACATCGGGAAAAAAATATATTAAAAAATACTATTGAAAAGAAATTTTTGATATTAAAATTTGCCAAATTAATATATATTTGGTTGAGGATAATAAATAAAAAGCATTCAGTAGAACAGATGAAATATTAAATATTAATTTTTATAAAAAAATATTTTATAATATTAAGATTTCAAAATTTTTTGTACAAAACCCTTACGATAAGGAAAAAGGAAGGAGTAAAAGCTTGAGCATGCATATTTCTGCTTTTATGTTGATGCAACGTTCTGGCAGTTATATATATATATATATATATATATTATCAGAGGAGTTAATTTTATTTTATCGTAATAGTTTATCCATCTTATTTAGCATGTTTTTATTCTGATTTTGTCATGTATGACAAATAAATGTAATGGATGAAGTGTTGTATTAGAGAAACTGTACTTATTTGGCACGTCATCCACCTACTATCCTACCTGCTTTGTTCTCCCTTCTGTTTTTTCTTTGGTGATCAGTGATTTAAGGCATCCAAGAGGGACAGGCCTGCCCTCTCACTGCCCTTTTCAATTTGTTTTAATTTTTACATTAAATATATTCATATTCGTTAAATATTTGTCACTAATAATTCAATATATGATTTTGTTAGTTTCACTTATACGTACTTATATTTGATTGTTTACGTGGATGAATGGCTGACATTCTATTCTAAACTTAAGAAGAACATCGCTTCTTTGATGAAAAAAACTGTTCTTAATTTTTCAAAAAATTTTGAAGGGTTCATACAAAATATTTTCTATGGGAAGCTTCAAATATATAACAACAATCAAAGTGGTAAACCTATATATGCAATGCCTCTGGTAATGAAAGGAACTGAAAGAAAATAGAAAAAAAGTAAAGTAATAAATAATAATAATAATAATAATAATAATAAAAGAACTCGGGAATGCACATGACACGTAGGCCCCTTCTCACCTAATGTATGCCAAGAAAGATGAATGATCAGTTATGTAGAGACCATTGCAAGGTCTCTGTCCGTCACTATTTGTTTTCAATATTGGTTGGACTTTATGTATCTTTTGACAACAAAGTTTAGAAAGTGATCCGGAGATTACGATTCTTCAATCAACATCTCACAAGCCTTGTTCACTTCTATCAATTTCCTTCCCAATAACAAACTCACGAGTTCACCATAAATCTTTCAAGACTATTATATTGTATAACTACTTAACTAATCTTATCTACAATTGATTGTTGTATTACTCTGCAACAGTTAATAAGGAAAAAAAAAAAGTTACACTACATTGAAGGAAGAAGCATTGTACTGGATAAAAGACATCCGAAAGCAGTTTTTTGTTATTTTAAAGAATAATTTAACATATTTTAACTAATATTATCTAAAATAGAACATACATATAACCACTCTCTTAAGTGTTAGAGAATAATTTTTATAATCACTCTAAAAAAATATGAATTGTAAATATAAAATATAAAATTTATTTTTTATGAGTTTTTTATATTATAACTAAAATTAATTTATTATTATATTTAAATGTGAATTTGTATGTTTGAGATTAATTTTTTTTATTTATAAATTTTTATTATAAACTAAAATTAATTTTTTTTCCGTTGAAATTTAAGTTAAATGAGATAAAACGAAGAAAAAAAACCTTTATAGAACTAACAGTGAGTTAAGTGAAACTTTATTTTTACATAATTTTATAAATTAAAAATTATTAAAAAAATTTAAAATTTTAATTTGTAAGAGCAATGAATATATAATTATTTAAAAAAAAACTTTAGAGAACTCTTTAAATAATTTTAAAGAGCAATTATATATTAATCACATATTAATCGAATAATTTTAGAGAAAATTATATTAACATTATTTAAAAAATAAAAAATGATACGGTAAAATTATATGAAATGTGATTAAATGCTGTGATGTGAAATATAATTTATTGAATTATATTTTAAATTCAATTTGTAATTGTACAGTCCTATTCACACACTATGCATGCAACCACTTGAAAAACAAGCCATGCAATTTTTAAAAACGGGCATTACATTTTTTTAAAGAAAAAAGATATTTGCTATAAAAATAACTTTCAATAAATATTTAACACACTAAGATAGCAAGCAAAGCAAGTTACACAACGTGTAATGTAACAATATATAAAGGTAAAAGCGAATTTTACTCTAGGTTACAATTAGTGAGCCAACTCTAGAATACAACTAATTTTTCCTAGATTTAACTCCATTTGTCAGTTTCTCACCCTCTCCTCCCTTTGTCTGTTTGCTTTTAAGTGCTTTGCCTGCTATTGTACGAGTTAGCTAGCTTAGCTAGATCTATTATCGATATGGTTCAGATTTCAGTCACAGACTAAGTGAAAACAGCCAATGCAGTACGACATCTTTTCTTCTTACTCATTTTCTTTTCCTTTTTCCCTTATTGTGTGGCTCAATTTGAATGTACATGAATCACGCAAGTATGTTTATGTTTGTCAGTGTTCTATATGCGTTCTTAATGGACCACGGCCCTCTACATTTTAAAGATTATCAACAGAAAGTTGTAATTACAGGTCAAAACAGTTGGATACTTTTATTGTTATTGTTTAATTATAATTATATTTTTATTTTACAAATTAACTTTAATTTTAAGAATTATTTTTCTGATAAATTATTGAGATAAAAGTTTATTTTTAATTAAAAATAAAATAAAATAGCAACTAAAATATTCAACATAAGTTCTGTTTATAATTATATATTATCCAATTTTCATTAGTTTGTTTTTTTCTTCAATTATGCATTCAGATCCTCTATTCAAAGTGTGCAAAATTTTAGTTTTTAATTTTTTAATGCATTAAATTTTTATAATTTAAAAATTAAATTTCTATTTTTTTTTATTTATAACCTACAAGTTGTTATTTTTTATTTAAATTTTTAGGATTTTATGATAAATTTAAGATATAAAGTAAATCTAAAAGTAAAAGAATTATTAAAATTTTGATAACTTTTAAAATATTTTATAAAATTTTAACACATCTTTTAAGTAAAACAAATACATGTTTATCATTAACAAATGCTAAGGACACCGGTTAAAAAATAAAAAAGCAATTTTTTTTATAAAAGATTTATTTTTTAATATAATTTAAGTTAGTAGTTTAAAAAATATTGTTAGCTTTAATATGTTAATTACTGTGCTTAAGAATTGGTTAGAAAGGACATGAATATTTGAGACAGCTTTTTAGAGCATAAACTTAAAAGACGGGTTATTTGCATTTATTTCCGACATAAGTGATACACGTATAACGGATTGGGGGCAACAGATGGAAGAGTAAAATCACAACGCTTTCACCACAGAAAGCGACAGATGTAAAGGTTTGGGTAAATTGAAGAGGGCAGCTATAAGAGAAGAAACGTACGGATTATAATCATTACCATTCACCTAACGTCATATTGCATTCATTTACTGCTCCAACACAATTCAATTTCTTTCTCAAAGCTACTCCCTTCTCTACTCTATTTTGCTTCAATTTCCCATTCAATAATAATTTTTCTGCACTCTTTTCTCTCTAAATTTGTCACTCAATACATCAACTTTTATAAAATAATATTTTCTACATATTTTCTCATCTTCAAAATATAAACATCACATTTTATAAAATATTACAAAAATTTCGTCCAAATTTAATTTTGTTAACCTTCTAAATCACGTTTATCTCAAAACTATTCTAAACTTCTAGTTATTCGAATAAAAGAATATTTAAAAATTTTACAAGAAAAAATAATAAAAATAAAATTTAATTGTAATAATTAAAATAAAATAAAATTACACATTCATCATATAAACAATCAAAAGCGCATAATCAAGTTTTTTTTTTTAACCTTTGACATAAAAAGTGCACGAGTATCTTACAATCTTTACATATATGGAGAAAAATCTTCCACCAGTTTGACAACTGTATCAAGTACATGTTATATCCACCTTGTTAATTTAGCGAACTTAAAAAATAATGAAAAACAATTTATGTACACATTTAATCGACAAGACCTCTCATGCAGCGGCTGCATACGGTTCTAATCCTTATATAACATTCGCTTTCTTGAGTCATCGAACCGCGAGGGAAGAAATTTGGTGTGGACCATATTAAGAAACAGTGACAATGGCTATCATGCAGCTCACTAGCTCTACAATTGCCTTGTTGCTCCATTTCTTAGTGTTATTTGCTCTATGGCACAGAACGAAGGCTTTGGTGAAGCTGCCACCAAATGTTTCATTTCCAGCAGTTATAGCATTTGGAGATTCGATTGTGGATTCAGGAAACAACAACAACATTAAAACATTGGTCAAATGCAACTTCCCTCCTTATGGAAAAGATTTTCAAGGAGGAGTTCCAACGGGTCGATTTTGCAATGGAAAGATTCCCTCTGACCTACTAGGTACTTATCTCTTCTCCTTACACTGTTGTTTTGGCTTTTCTAAGCTTAGTTATTTACAACAACAAAACTTTAATTGAGGAAAGAAATTGTTATACCAAACAAAAATAGCAGCACTAAATCTGAAATTCATACGGGTCTGTCCCGACAGTTAGAAAAAGAAAATCTTCTTACAATGTGTAGTAACTGAAATCAAACAGCCAGAGCATACCATTCTCGTCCTTGGCTCTTTCTCTTCAAGTCAACAAGTGAGTGCATAGTCTCATCACAGTTTATTTACAGATCTATTCTTTGAAAATAAAAATATATATAATATTATATTTGACACCTTCTATAATTATGTTTATATATATATATATATATATATATATTATTCAAACAATATATTTTTATATCTTTCTGTTACATTAATCATCTATCTTATATATTTTTCCCTTTTTATTTTATCTATCTTCTCTTTTTTACCAAAACATTATACAACAAATTTTTTTTTCTCTTATTTTGTTTGTAAATACTTACGGAAAGAAGATATTTCCAAATCAAAGAACGTATCTTTTTTGTCATCATATTTTATTTTGAAATTCATTGCTTTTTCCCTCACGTCTAAGTTTGATGCAACGCATCGGCTCAGGAATAGTTAAATTTAATCAAGATTTATACGAAATGCTTTTTCTGTCTCAAAATTTCATCCGCTTAGGATGCTTTGGAGAATGTTTGTAATAGTGTTTTTGCATTATCAAACCCTAAAATATGACATATTATGCTAATAAATAATTTTATTGATATTGAAATTAATATATTATTAATATACCAAATATTCGTTTAATTTATCATTTTATTAATACATGCTTATTATATTTATATTAACAGATAAGTTTTTATCAAATAAAATTTACATTGTGAGAAATAATCTTAACGTTTAATTATTTTTATTCCGTAAAAATGATACCTTTCTTAAATTGAAAGGTAGTAGTTATGAAACAGAGTCTTTTCCTCCACTAAGAAAAGGTAAGAAGTGGGGATAGTGACTGTCAAGCGACTTCATTCCCCGTGGACTTGCGTGCATAGCCCACACAGGCTTGGCAAAATCTTGATTTGTTTTAGAGTCCATATTTGTTGATCCCCGTAATCTGCATATTAAATGGATTTGGTCATGAGTATGTGGACCAAACGGATATACATAAAAAAATTAATATTATTTTTAATAAATTAATTATTTTTAAAAATGAAAAACTAGTTTTGGTCTATGGACCAATTTGTGCATCGGATTGTGTTTTTACATTTTGAAAAAAATATATTTTAAAAGAAAAGAGCAGTAGTGTGAATTGGTTTGCAGACTTGAATGAGCTTAAATGTATGGTCGATCCACATATCCACTTATGTTCGTGATAATATAATTGTCATTGAAATAAAGGGATCAGAATCCAAACTCTAACTTTGAGATCCATAACATGAAGAAGCACATCCTCCTCCATGAAAAGGCTCCATTATATATATATATATATTATATATATTCTCTCCTTCCTTGTAGCGAAATTTTGTTCCAATGCACTTAAAATCCCCCAAAATGAATAAAACAAGAAATTTGATGAGAGCCCAAGAGAGTTGGAGGATTGGAGTTGTAAGAGCTTATGGCATTAGGTAGTACACTAGGATTAAATAGTGAAAAGCTCAATGTGTTAATTTTTTTAAAAGTATTATTAGTGTGGTTTATTAATTAAAATAAAAATGTTAACTTAATAAATTATTATATTTAATGTTACCGTATATTATCAAATTTTCATTGGTACATAAAACTAACAATACATAAAGAATTACACCTAAATTTTGTTCAATTCTTTTACTTGAATCTCTTTGTTCGAGAGTGTTATAACCCAAGCTACGAGAAGAGTTTAACTCCAAAAACTTACCTTTCTGGTTTAGGTAAGAAAGTTTAATGAATTTACTCTGTTGACATTAACTTAATCAATGGTAGGATAGTTAAACTTTGAATAAAAATATTATGAATTAGGTATAAGAAATTAGTCTAACTTATGAACAATTTATAAAATTAATCCTTTAAATACAAAAATCCTATAAACTTAAATATCATATTATTAAGTTGTACTATCAAATTTAAATCCTAGTTAATGCAATATATATAATTATCACACTTACCTTCCATAGAAGATACTTACAGTTTAGAAAAAAAATTAATTTATCTTAATAAAATTCATATTTAAACTTTACATAAATCATCCTTTTAAAAAGATTTTATTAAAACGCACTCTTAGCACCACAACCTTTTTTCTATACCAAGCGATTGAAGATGACTTGCACGAGGTGGATGCTCAACACATCTTGAATAGGCTTCACCTCGTTGCTTTGTCCTACCCATGGACATGTGATGCTCTAGAAACATTGGAATCCGTGGCAGGCTTGCAAATTAAATAAAATGTGATTTGGGTGGTTTAGTGTGCAAGTAAAGAAATCAAGCATGTTGTTCAAGTGGAATGGAGAGAGAATTGTTGATCAACTTGAATAAATAAAAAAGAAGTAAAATATGTTTGTTTTTCTCTTTGTTTTTTACCATTTATATGAACCAACACCATTAGTTACCTTCGCAAAGACGAGATGCAACTCTTAGATATGTGTTCACAAACATTAAAAGGGCATTCATTGATAAAATTGAAAATTAAAATGTCTTAAATTGTACATCGTATGTAAAATACAGTCGGATTCCATGCTTCATATACGTACAACTCTTATTTTACACAGCTATACACCATGTTTTATGTTAATTAATAAATTATTTATTGGATTTTAAATTGAACATGCTTATCTATATATGGTTAAATTCAAAAAATATATATTATTGAATATTTTATGTTAAATTCACTTTACCTTGGAATTTAAAAGAATTCATTTTAAATTAAATTACACAACTGATTAAAGCAATTGAACCTTCATATTTTAAAATATGATTCGTAAAATAATTTGAAAGCAGATAAGATTTTATTTTATTAATATCATTCTAAACAAACTTTATGTAGAAGATATCATAAATAAAATAATTGTTCGTCTAAAGATTCCAAATACAAGCATAAATGAAATTAATTTAACTCTTCTAACACATGAGAGTCCACATTAAAAGATAAAGTAAATTATAATTTTTATTTAAAATATATCAATAATTAAGATCTCAATAGTTTTATTGTTTATTATATATAGATATAGATGCATTTTATTATAATCTCTTTAATTTTTAATTAAAATTTTTTACTATACTTTGTCTTTTAAAATTAACCCTCACAATTTAGATTTGACGTCCTAATAGTTGTGGTTAGGACTGTTCTGATATTCCATGGAATGCAATTAGAACTATTATCATTCCATGGCTAATTTGTAAAACAAATCCGTTTCTCATTGCAATTAATTACTTCCTTGAGTTTCAGTTGAAGAGCTGGGTATTAAGGAGTATTTGCCTGCTTATTTGGATCCAAATCTCAAATCCAGTGATCTTCTTACCGGCGTGTGCTTTGCCTCCGGTGCTTCAGGATATGATCCTTTGACACCCGAGATAGCGGTAAATATAAACATCTTTCAGCTCCATTTTCAATTCCTAATAAATCCTTGTTGAGTAAAATTAACAGCAATCTACACTTCAAACTTTATGATTTTTCAAAATATGGTTTCAAAATATTAACTTTCTTAAAGTAATGGTTAATACACTGCTATTTTAAAGTCATATAACTTTGGGATGTACTTTACTTCAAACCAATAACGAACATATTTTAGTGAGCGTTTAAAAACTAATAAAAATCACGTTAAATTACATATCAACGTAAAATGTTATAACTTGTAAAATTGAAATAAGTTTGGTTTTAATTGGATCGATCTGAGGGCAATTCAAATCACACCCATAATTTTCACATTACACGTTTTTTATTTTCAACTTTTGAGGAAACTGATAGATGGTGGTAAATTATATGCAAATATTACTATTGACCTTATTTTCTGACTTTTTTTGTACACTGTGATCAGTCAGTTATATCATTATCCGATCAACTAGACATGTTCAAAGAATACAAAGCGAAGCTGAAAAATATTGTCGGAGAGAACAGAACAAACTTCCTCGTAGCCAACAGTTTTTATGTTGTGGTGGCAGGCAGTGATGACATTGCCAACACCTATTTTGTTGCTCATGCGAGACAATTACAGTATGACATTCCTTCTTACACAGACCTTATGTTGAACTCAGCCTCTAATTTTATAAAGGTAAGCTTAAGGTTAATTTTTGTTAATTAATCAATCATATAATAGCTCAAATTAAAGGACAAAATAATTGTACCTTTAAAACAGGAACAAATAAATAATCATTATACTAGTAATATATTATATCATTTATTTGGTGCATGTAAATTCAACTATATTTACCTCACCATATGAATTTTCATTTTCCCTGGCATAAATGGGAAGGAACTATACAAACTTGGAGCTCGTAGAATCGCAGTTCTGAGTGCACCACCGATTGGATGCGTGCCATCACAGAGAACTCTAGCTGGAGGCTTAGTAAGAGAGTGTGCAGAAAAGTACAATGACGCAGCCAAGTTGTTCAACTCCAAACTATCTAAGGAGTTGGATTCCATTGGTCACAGCTTGCCCAATAGCAGGATAGTTTACATTGATGTTTACAACCCTCTACTCGATATCATTGTCAACTACCAAAAATATGGTGTTCTATCTTCACTTAATTAAGTTCATTCATTTATTGATTTTTGTCTTTATGGTTGACTTTTAAATATTTAAAAACAATAATTTTTCATTAAAAATATTTATTATATTAAAAATATAAAAAATATTTTAAAGAAAATTTCATTATTATTAATCGTTTAAACTCAAATTTAAAAGTTCAATCATAATTTTATCTTAAGTTTTGCCTTCAATTCAATTGCAGGCTATAAAGTTGTGGACAGAGGTTGCTGCGGCACAGGCAAAATAGAGGTTGCAGTGTTATGTAACCCTTTGGATGCCACTTGTCCTAATGCTGCAGATTATGTCTTTTGGGATAGTTATCATCCCACTGAAGGAGTATACAGAAGGATCATCACTCAAGTGCTTCAAAAATACTTGCCTCGATTGTTTTGAGCTCGATTAAGTTTGATTTTTATCTTCAAAGAAAATGAGTATTTTGTTCAGTTTATGATCGAGGTCTTTCGTGTGAATGTCAGCACTGCTTTTAGATTTAATATTAATAGGCATCCAACTCACATTTCCATATTTTTCCTCCAATTAAGAAATGTTTATTTTTATTTATTTGAATAATAAAATTTATAGTTTTTCTGGAGTTTTTTCGTTGTTTTCCCCGTATATATGATGATGATATGGAGTTGTTATAGTGTGCTTTATTATGATTATTCTCATCAAAATTTATTTAACAAAAGTAGTTATTTTATCCTGTTAAAGCATTACACTTATCTTGTCATCTATTGTAGAATAACAAATGGTTCCCCATAGCCATATAAGCAAGAAAATATTAGTTTCATTACAAAAGTACAATTGTTATATACTTAGATGTTGTATTCCTAGGTTGATATAGCTTTTATTACACATTAAACTAAGAATCAACTTTACGAGTCTAAAATTACTATTTATTAAAAAAAATTAGATTAGAATATTTTTATTAGTATGATTTTTAACTACAAAAATTAAATTATTAAAGACTTCAATTATCTATAAATTTTCAAGAGTTGAAAATTATTTATTAAAAAGAATATTATCTTTTTTTTATACTTTAAAACTTAATTCTCACAAATGTATTCTTTTTTTTTTTTTATCAGCAACAATTACATTTTATGAAAATAAGGTATCAGAAGTACCAAAGAGATATAAAAAAAAGAAAAGTAAGAGTACCTGCAGTAATGTCACAGCAACTATACAATGAGGCTATATAATTGTAAATTTCGAAGGTAAAAACCCAAAAAAACAAACCCCACTACACATTATGTAGAAATACCTATTCTACAAAACTCAAAATTCACAATTCCAGACCAGAAATATACATCTACAGCATTAACCACATTATTGGTTCAAACTCCCATCTTCTAATATATGCACATCAGACACACAGTAAATCTGATCATAATAAACATCTACCAGGGTCCTCATTCCAATCACCAAAGCTACCCAATTATCTTGCTTTTTGCAACTAGCCATTCCTATGAAAACCATTTAACTTGAAACAGTAAATCAGCCATCAATTCATTTTTTTGTTTGAAGGGATGCGAGATTTGTTCATTCCATAATATCCATAACACAGTCACAGTAAACCAACCCAAATTCAAATTTTGTAACGTAAATATATATTGAATTACTAAACACCAATCTACCAAATCATTTGGTACTAATAAAGCTATTCTACACGATGACAAACACTCCTTCGACAACATATAAGATATATTGCAATTTAGGAATAAATGAGCAAGTATCTCTTCAGAAACTGCGCAAAAATTACAATGTACTTCTGAATTAACAATACCATGCTGATGCAAATTTATCGCTGTAGGAAGACGATCTTGAAGACAACACCACATAAAAATAGACATATATATGTCAAAGAAACTATATTTTGCTTGAACACGATATATATGGTTTTTTCTTTTACTTTTGTTGATCGGACAATATTCAAAGGTGTAATCAATTAAAAGTTCTATCGAATAATTCCAATAGTACATATAACAGTTAATCCATGAAAAAGTGAAAAAAATAATCAACTTGCTATGATTGAATTAAATTTCATACCAGTATTTATAATTTTAATATAATAAACAGTGTTGTTTCCTATGCAATTAAAACATTTTTTATTACTTTTATGAAAAAATTATAATCAAAATATTTATATAAAAATTTTGATTAAAAATTAACTAGTGTATATCTATAAAATTATAAAGTATAATAATAATTTAATCAAAACTTGATAAAATTATATGATCTGAGTTTTCTTTCTTTTATCTGTGATATTATATAGTTTGCAAATTTGGAATAAGAAAGGTTATTTTTAATTTACTTTGATATTCGTTACATGAAAATTTTATTTTAATTTCTATCCTCTTATTATTTTATCATTTATAAATAAAATTAGTTTTAATACTTATTGATAGTGTTATCAAGGTAATATTTCGTTTCATGATAATAATACATCACCGATATCATTATTTACTTTATCGCTTTGGGTAAAAACCTAAAAGGCATTAGTTCATACCAAAAATAATAGCAGATATGCTTTTTTTCATTTTAATAAATTATGACGAGTTAAGATAGTTTTTATATTAACTGATAAAAAAAACTATAATTTTTCTCCTTTTAAAATTATCTACAGTTTTGATAATTCATACTTCTTTCTTTTTATTAAAAACTTTAATGGTGATGGTTCTTAAGAACTCATCATAGCCAAGATGTTTCTCAAATTTTAAAAAGTATTTATAAAGGTACTTAAATATCACTCACTAATAATTCATACTTAATAGTACATTGCATATTATATGTGATAATTTATTAGTATCAATATTTTCTTTAAAGATTTTATTTTCTAAAAAGTACAATACAAAAACAAATGTACAAACTAAATTAAAAAATTAATTTTAAAAAATTAATTTATATAAATAAATTTTAAAATATATTCTATAAAATTACATTATTTTATTTATAAAATTATACATTATTTTATTATATTATTTTAATAATCTCGTGACAGTGATTCATGTAACTTGTACTGTGACTCTAATTAATGATTTAATATAAAATCATTAAAAGTATAATTACAAATACAATTATAAGAAAACTCTCCTTTCTCCATTTAGATAAAAATAAGAGAGCAGTTAACAAATAAAAATTTTAGAATTCTTTATTGAGACTATCATTTTCACAGTCCTACGACCTTGCTCAAGAAATTTTTTTTTTCTCAACTACAAGAATTCAGGTTAAACATTAAAGAATAATGAATTCAGATTAATGTTCTTGAAATTCTTAATTGTGTGAGAACTATATATATTATTGTGAGAATAACATAATTTAAAATCCATAAAAATAATAATTTTATAATAATTACATCAAAGATAGAAATTACATAATAACTTAAAATAGATTGATATATTTTTATAGTTAAAATATTAATATTTTAACAAATAGGTAATAAGTGATGCTTTTTCGCTAAAAAGTGATAATTTTTTTTTCTAAGAAAAAGTGATGATTTTGATATATAACTAATCAGCTGATATTATAAACATATCATATCATACAATTTAGTACTATTATAGTTTACAGAACTCATATCTACAAATATATAAATACTAAAATATGTACTAAAAAATCTTAGTATTTTTATTATTAATAATAAATTTAATTCATAAACATGTTTTCAAATATTAAAATACAAATGCACACGCAATAATGTCAAATGTTATATCTATTAAATGTATCTTTAATTTTTTAATAAAATAATTTTATATTAAATATTAATGATATAATTATTTACAGTATTTTTATTAGAGGAACCGATATTCATGCAATAAAAACTATGAATAATTTATATATTCAATGTATAAAAGTAAATATAAATTAAAATATTTACTTATATTATAATTATTTAGAATAAATTCTATATATAAATATATTTTAAATAATAAAATTCAAAAAAAAATATAATACTTTATTTCTTAATTTCTAAGTATAACATTAATACAATTGATTATATTCTAATATGTATTGCAAGAAATTAAATTAAATTGATTATTATAAATGTAATTAAGTATTATTCATTAATTGTAATATATTTATTAGATGAATAATTTTTCATATATATATATATATATGTATATATAAATATTATTAGAAATTTATTAATAAAAAATTAAATGCTATATATTCCATATATACTAATTAAAACATATTTTAATGTAATAAAATCCAAAAGCATATTAGTATTTAATGTTATATTTGCTAAAAATAATATATACTAAACATAAATGATTATTGAAAATTTATTTTTATTATTAAAATGAATTAATGCATTGTCAATGTAAAGATTTTTACATTAAATAATTAAAATATATTGTGGATATGATTTTTATATTAATTATTAAAATTAATTATTCTTGTTGATAGTATCATGCTTATTATCTTCTTATCAGAAGGATTCTAACTTTATATGTTTTTATTATTAAGTTGAATAGTAAAGGCTGTAGGATTCAAATTTATAATTTTAAAACTATTATCACGAGATGTGCATCTTTTAAATCCTTTTTATACATAGTCAACGAAACGGATGATGAATTAATTGTGTGTAATAAGAAATTTTATAGTATCAAGTGTATTATCATCAGAGGGATTCTAACTTTATTTATTTTTATTATTCAAGTTGAATAGTAAAGGTTGTACATCCAAATTTATAATTTTAAAACTATTCTTATGAGATGTATATCTTCTAAATCCTTTTTATGCACAGTAAACAAAAATGGATAATGAATTAGTTATGTGTAATAAGAAGATTTGATAGTATCAAAGTGTATTATCAAAATGATTTGTAACTTTATTTGTTTTTATTATTCAAGTCGAATAATAAAGGTTGTACGATTCAAATTTATAATTTTTAAATTATTCGCACAAGATGTACATCTTTTAAATCTTTTTTATGCTTAATCAACGAAAACAGATGATGAATTAAATTGTGTGTAATAAGAAGATTTGATGGTATCAAGTGCATTATTAGAAGAATTCCAACTTTATTTGTTTTTATTATTTAAGTTGAATAGTAAAAGTTGTGTGATCCAATTTATAATTTTTAAATTATTTTCACAGAATGTACATTTTCTAAATCTTTTTTATGCATAGTATGTCAACAAAAACAGATGATGAATTATGTGTACTAAGAAGATTTGATAGTATCAAGTGTATTATTAAAAAGATTTCAACTTTATTTGTTTATATTATTTAAGTTAAATAGTAAAAGTTGTACAATCTAAATTTGTAATTTTAAAACTATTGTCACAATATGTACATCTTTTAAATCATTTTTATACCTAGTTAATAAAAATGAATAATGAATTAATTATGTTAATGAGAAGATTTGATAGTATCGAAACGTAATCCCAACTTCATTTGTTTTTTATTATTTAATTTGAACAGTAAAAAGTTAGACAAAAATATAAGTCACATACTTAAATCTGTAACGGAAGAATTGAAAATATTTTTTAATGACTAACTGCTTTCGAGATCAAAATGAATTGATTATAAATTTGAAAAGATTTTATTGTGAGATAAAATAACAGACTCGCGTATTCATATTTAATTTTGTCTTTGTTTTTAAGGAAAACATATTTTTTACTAACAAACAAATGAAGTTTGATTAACTAGTGTATGAATACAATGTATTTTAAATTATAAGTTAAAATTAAAAACCCTATTTAATGTATAAGTCTATAAGAATGTTTTTTCATCCTAAATTCTAACAGAACTGTATTATGTATTTACATTTTGTGTCTATCTCTTTTTTCATATACATTAAATTTTCAATTAAATGACAGATAAATTAGAGATTTAAACATTCTTATACAGAAACATCCTTTCCTGCATTTATGATTTGAAACAAAGTTGCTGTCTATAAATACTTTCGCTACGTTGCAAGAAAATTATCAGGTGTAGGAAAATGGATCAGTTATTTAGGAAGAGCATAGTAACAATTGTTTTGATTTTCTTTGCCAACCGAGTTTCTATAGCAGCAGGTGCTAATGGAACATTTCCGGCATTGTTTTCATTTGGAGACTCAATCCTTGATACAGGAAACAATAACAACCTTCAAACGTTAAGTAAATGCAATTTTCCTCCGTATGGAATGGATTTCGAAGGAGGAAAAGCTACAGGAAGATTCTGCGATGGAAAAATTCCCTCAGATTTGATAGGTAACTATAACTGCCAATGTATATTTATACACATTCCTTTCGCTTAATTTACATGATGAGCAAGATTTATGAACGTGACTGATTTTTACTTTAGTATATATAAAGGGTGCCAATTATAATTCTATTGAAATAAAAGGATATAGAAGATTAAATTTATAACAGTCATTTTTTAACATGTACGTTGGTTTCAAGCTTTAGAAATTCATTCCTGAAAACGACATTCGTAGACTGGAAATATGATGATGGAAATGCTATTTCAAGATATTTTAGAACCATGTGCCTGGTTAACATTTAAATTTATTGAGAATCTTTCCGAATCAAAATACGTTTTTAATTTCCAATATGCGAAAGTTGCTTTCATCCTGTTTTTATACTAACTTGCTAAACCAATCCATACGTAATCAAGGCATTTCTATTTCTTATTTCCTCATGACTTAATTATCAGAAAATTCTCATTTTTCGGTGCTGCCTCATCCTAGCTAGTTGCATGCTTACTTAAAACTTTTCTCAAAGTCGAGATAATCTCAATTGGGTGGGGATATTTGAAAGTTAAAAATTATGCTTTCGAGAATTATTAAGAAAAAGCAAAATAATAAGAGCACCATTTTTGTGTCTTCAAAACGTGTGCACGTTTTTTTTTTATATAGTCAATGATTCCCATTTTATTTCTGATACCGTAATGAAAAAAAAAAAAAAACTATATATGATTTGAATGTGAATATATTGTATGTAGCATCGGGTTTGGGAATCAAAGACACGTTGCCAGCATATCTTGACGGTAACTTGAAGACTGAAGACCTTCCCACTGGGGTATGCTTCGCCTCAGGTGGCTCAGGGAATGACGACACGACCGCTCGCATACAGGTTAGACAAATAAAATACTAACACGTGCACTACTATACAAGTTAAGAAATTAAAAAAAAATCATTAATGTATATTTATCCTAATTTTGAATATTATTTTAATATAATGTGTATACGTTTTTATTTCTTGACTAACACAAGGTCACTAGTTGTAATGAGCTATAATCGCTTTGTTTGCATTTTTATATGAATGAATGATGCTACCTCATTCTTAACAATGTTATGTTGATAATCAGGGGGTTTTAACACTATCGGCCCAACTGGGACTGTTTAAGGAATACATAGGAAAGCTAAGAACAAGTGTTGGACAACAACGTGCAGATGAGATAATTTCCAACAGCTTGTACCTTATTTCATCTGGCAACAATGACATTGCCATTACCTATCAGTCAAGGAGACTGGAACCTTTCCCACTTTATGCTGATCAATTAGTTGGCTGGGCTTCAAATTTCCTCAAGGTTCGTCAACTATCATTGAAGTAATTTAATTTGCCATTAACATAAAATATATTAGACGTTATGCTTCATCTTTATTATTATAGTTTAATTTTTTGGTAATATACAATACGTATAACAATGACTTGCGATATTTATACTAATATTTTCATTTTTAATTATTAGAAAAATATTATGCCAATGAAGAAACTGTAAGGCTAACTATAAATATAGACAATTTATTTATGGTTTGAAGTGTTGTGAACACATAATTAATGTTAATTATTATGTACGCGAAGAGTCTATACGAACTGGGAGCACGAAGAGTGTGGGTGCTAAGTACATTGCCACTGGGATGCTTGCCCGGAGCTAGAAGTGCAGGTGGAGGACCATTAAGAGCATGTGAACCCTTAACCAATCTAAATGCGCAGTCATTCAATAGCAAGTTATCATCCGCGGTCAATTCTATGAAAACCACTCTTCCCAATTCTGACATTAGGTTCGTCGATGTGTACACTCCTCTGCTTAATATCATTCAAAATCCTTCAAGCTCAGGTGATTTTCTACACAACGTCACTGATTAATTTACTATTTATTAGTGTAAATGAACACTGATATCATCAACATGGTGATGGTTATAATAATTTCAGGTTTTGTGAATGTTGCGTTGGGGTGTTGTGCGACTGGGACGGTTGAACTTGGAGTGCTATGTAACCGTTTTAGTCAAACGTGTGGAAATCCTTCGACATCCGTATTCTGGGATGCTGGCCATCCAACTCAGAAAGCATATGAACTCGTTGTCTCTTCTATTCTTCAAAGTAACAATGCTTAATGTTTCTTCTGTCTCGCATTAATTAGAAGGATAATTCATATTACAAAAATTATAGATGTACGCCCCATGTAAGTTTATCCAACTTTTAACGAAGAGAAATATGTATACCAAAGGTCAGAGATATAATAAATGCTGTAATAAATTAAATAAATAAATTATGACTCTTAATATTATGTCTGTTTCTTTATGTAATTCTTTTTCTCTTTCTTCCTTCTCTTCCATCGTTTTAAACGCACAAGTGTAGTGCATTAAATCCACTATATTTATTTACAGGTAGGTATGTATTATTATAGATAAATTTATAATATATTCTTATTAATTGTATTATTTTAAATTAAAAATGAAAATATTGTATATTTTTAAAATACTATATACATTTATTCTATCTTTCATTAATTGCCTAATTTAATTTTATTAATTTTATATTCATATCATGCATACGTTTCTGGATTTTTCATATTTTCAGTCTTTAATTTTTTTTATATTTAATAAATAGGACACTTTATTTTACATTAAAAAATAAAAATTCAAGCGGAAATTGAATACTGTGTGTAAAAGATTAAAAGGTACCAGAATTTTTAAATCAATTGAAAAAGATTATTAAGTTAATAAATATTGGTTATGTAAAAAAGTATTGATATTATTTTTCAATTTTTATTGATAAATAAATTACATAGATTAATTTTCTATTATTTTTAAGAATAAGTTCTTAGAAAATTATTAAATAAAATAATAAAAGTATATGACTTAAAAATATATCATAATTTTTTTTTATAAAATAATATTTATAAGTTTGATTATCTTAACTTTTTTTCACACTTGATTATCTCATTTTTATTCTTATGAATTCTAAATATTTAATTGAGTTTTAAATATTTTACTAAAAAATACCTAAAAGAAACAAATATTCAATTTTAGTTATCAAGAACCATTAGAACTCATACTTTATGCTATTTTTAATATTTTATAAAAATAATTATTTAAAAATATAATATAAATAAATTTTATACAGAAAACAATATGAACATTTTTAGTAAAAAATATTTGTAGAAAATTATATTTTTAAAATTATTTAAAATATATATAAAAATATTTTAAGCATTCTATAAATTAATTTTAAAAATTTTATAATTTAATTTTTTGATTAATTTTTTTCCAAAAAAATAATTTCAATTGTAAAAAATTAACTAAAAATATTATAATTTTATATCAAATTTTAATATTATATGTATACAAATATTTTAAATTTTTATTAAAAGGCCAAATGGTTAAATAAAAATATTTTGTTTAAAAAATTATAAAAATTTTAATAAAAAAGTGATTTTGTTATCAAAATAAATTTATATTTTATTTTACTAATTTTTATTTATTTTCAACATTAAACAAGATGATATAATATTTTAATATTTTATTATATTATCTTAATGTACATCAAAGATAAAACATGATAAGATCTTATCATATTTTATATTTATATAACCATTAATCGTATTGTCTCAAACGGGCTCTCAATGTTTAAAAATATACATTTATAATATATTATTTAATATCAAAATTAGATTGCAAAATAATATATATGTGTAAATATTATATTAATCGAGTGAAATCATAAAAAAAATTTATTTTAACAACAGAGAGAAAAATAAATAAATAATTTTGAATAAATAATAATAATTTAATTTATTAAAAATATCTATTTAATATTTTAATAAAAAAAATTGTAAATAAATTTTTGTCATCAATGCAATAACTTCAAACAACAGGAACTTAAAAAAATGTTATAATATGATAAGAAATATTCATTTCAACGTAAAATAATTATATATATTTTTTAGTTGTGTGATAACTAATAAGATTCTTATATTATAATTAATAATTTATATTTATTAATAGCAAAAAAATATTTATATTTATTTTTAAAATCAATAATTTTTTATTATAAATGTATCTGTGTCCAATATTTTATTATTTTTTATAAGCACATGTTTTTCTATTAAAATTTAAAAACAGATTTTAACATAATCTGTATTTTAAGTTTAAATAATAATATAATTTTTTAATCAGAAGGCATTGATTACATTTTTAAGTAAAAAATTTACTTTTAATTCAACAAAATCTTAGGTCACTTTCTACTGTTTGTCAAAACATATTTTATTCTAAGTTCTAACGTGAATTTATTATGTTTACATTTTGTGTTTATGGCGTTTCTAATATTCATTAAATGAGGTCAACCTATTCTTTATTTTAATGTCTATTAAATGCGAGATAAATTAAAATGAAATATGAATTTCCTCAATATAATATACATGCTTTGAAACAAAGTTGGTATCTATAAATAATTTCACTTCGTTGGAAGAGAATGAACAGAGAAGGAAAATGGATAAGTTATTCTGGGAGAGACTAGTAACGGCTGTTTTGGTTTTCTTTGCTAACGGAGTTCATATAGCAGTAGGTGGTAATGGTGCAGTTCCAGCATTGTTTGCATTTGGAGATTCAATCCTTGATACGGGAAACAATAACAACCTTCTAACGTTGACTAAGTGCAACTTTCCTCCTTATGGAAGAAATTTCTATGGAGGAATACCAACCGGAAGATTCTGCGATGGAAAAGTTCTCTCGGATTTTGTAGGTAACTATATCCACACGCACATTATTCCTTTCTCTTTACTCAATGTGCACAAGATTTATGAACTATGTTTGATTTTTGCTCTCACAGTTGAGATATATAAAAGGGCTCTACTTATTATTATATTGAACAGAGATATATAAACGTATAATATCCATTTTTTAACACATTAGGGACATCGGTTTCAAGCTTTCGAAATGCAATCCTATAAAATTGACGTTCGTTGACGGCAAATGCTATTTTAAGTTATTTAGAAAAAGTGTTCAGTAGATACTTGACATTCTAAAGAATAGTCAAAAAGGTAAAATTCTTAGAGTCTATATTTAAAAGGGTATTGATACCCTCTTTATGAAATTATTAAATAATAAATTTATATCTATAAATCTACTTTATGGGTGATATAGATCCACTGATATATTTTATTGTGTAACTATTTTTAAAATTTTAACTACAATAGTTTTAACTGTATTTGTTAAAAAAAGTTATAAATTTATTTATGAGTGCAGTATTGATACCCTCTTTATAAAAATTAATAATAATTATATATATATATATATATATATATATATATATAGTGATATAGATCTAATGATATAATTTATTGTGTAACTATTATTAAATTTTTAATTGTCTAAACACGTGGAAAAATTTCAAAAAATATTTATGATAATCATTTTAAAATTCTATCAATTATTAATAAACTTGCTTGTTTATACAATAACAGTGTTTATATTTGAGTAACTAACATATAATTTAAGAATTGAATAAAATATCTATCTTAAAACAACATATTTATTAATCAAGTAGAAAATATTTAATTTTCATTAAATATATAAAATAAATGTATTATATTTTTCAATATTTTAAATTCATTTATTAAAAATTATAAATTATATAATAAAATAAAAACTATATATTTATTCATGATAAAAGATTAAAAGAAACATCATAGCATTTCTTAAATAAGTAATATATTTTTACTGTTATATAATATTTATAATATTTATTGTCTTTAATTTTACTATTAAATATTTCAATAAAAATTATTTAATAGTATTTATTTTAATTTATTTTTGGATGTCTGATTATCAATATATTCTAATTTTGTACATTAAAATGAACACAGAAAATATATGTTGAACAGAAATGTTATATCTGAGATAAAAAAAATCTTAAATTTAAAATAAATAATATTAATTTTACTAAATAAATTAATTTTTACTGGACAATTGAAAATAATTAAAATTTAAATAGAAAAGGTAACAGCCAAACTACGTGTTTAGTCTGCAAATGAAAAGTTGCCTTCATGGTGTTTTTCTACTAACCGGCCAAACCACACGTAACAAGGCATTTTCGTTTCTCCCAAAGAAAAAAATAAAAACTATTTTCATCTCATGCTTCTGCAGCTTTTAGTTCATCTGGATAATTGTTTATCATTTCTGGGTGCTGCCTCATCTCAAAGTTCATATGTTCTCATTTACGTGAAGATATCTGATTGATAAAAATGAAGCTCAGGGACATGAAAACCAAAACAATCAGAGCACCATTTTTTGTGTTTAGAAAATGTGCACATTTTTTTGTCGAATAATTAATTAGTAGTTTTATTTACTGTATGTTTCTCCATTTATGACTTGAATGTTAATATATTCTACGCAGCATCGGGTTTGGGAATCAAAGAAACGTTGCCAGCATATCTTGACCGTAACTTAAGGGTTCAAGACCTTCCCACTGGGGTATGCTTTGCTTCAGGTGGCTCAGGGAATGACGACATGACGGCTGTCATGCAGGTAATATTCACTTTATAATATTTTAAGGTAAATATAAATATGTTCATTTAATACACTAGTTAAAAAATTATTAAAAATACTATTAATATACCAAGTTTATTAAATCATTGATTAACAATATTCATATTTTAATATGTGGTCACCCTTTCACTCCATAAACGTCATTCGGAGTCAATATCCATGAAAATTCTTTCAAATTGACGAGTGTTACAAATAATCAGTTCTAAACTTTGTAAATTTAAAAATACTATTTCGGTATCCACCTACCTGTGTTTGTATATAACATGAATGTTGTTGGTTGATAATTTCTTAAAGTTGTTATGCTTCTGATATGATCAGGGAGTTTTAACATTATCGGCCCAATTGCGAATGTTTGAAGATTACATAGGAAGGTTGAGAGCACTTGTTGGAGAACAACGTGCGGCTTACATAATTTCCAACGGCTTGTACCTATTTTCATCGGGCAACAATGACATTGCCATTACCTATTCACTGACGTTGCGCAAACTCCAACCTTTCCCCTTATATGCCAATCAATTAGTTGGTTGGGCTTCACATTTCCTCCAGGTTCATCAGCTACCGTTCAGTTAATTTTATCATTAACACTAAAAATATGTTAGGCATCAGAGTTAAATCAGCACCAACACCTCAGTTTTCTGATAATGTGATGCATCACATTTTAAACGTAGACTAGTAATATTTTTAATTTTGTTATAAATGAGGACAAACACAAAGGGTAGTTATTAGTAGTATAGACAATTTATTTTGGTTTGAAGTGAGATGAACACAAAATTAATGCCAGTTATTACATGACATGCGCGAAGAGGTTATATCAACTGGGAGCAAGACGAGTGTGGGTGCTGAGTACATTGCCACTGGGATGCTTGCCTGGAGCTAGAACTGTAGGAGGGGGGCCATTTAGGCTGTGTGCACTCTTTGTGAATCAACAAGCTCAGATATTCAATGGCTTGTTATCAGCAGCGGTTAATTCTATGAGAAGTGGTCTTACCAATTATGACATTAAGTTCATTGATGTCTATTCTCCTCTGCTTAACATCATACAGAATCCTTTCAGCACAGGTCACTTTCTATACAAATTTACTAGTGCAAAATCTTGTGTATATTAACATTGATATGAAGTTTATTGGCGATGATTAAGCAGGGTTTTCGAATGTTGGGTTCGGGTGTTGTGCGACTGGGACAACTGAAATTGGAGCGCTATGTAACCCTTTGAGTGGATCATGTCTAAATCCTTCGGCATACGTTTTCTGGGATGCTGGCCATCCAACTCAGAGAGCTAATCAACTCGTTGTCTCTTATATACTAAAGAGTCACAATGTTTCTTCCATGCTAGAGAGTTACAATGTTTCCGCTGTCTCACATTAAAGAAGTCTAAGCTTCTGCTTCAAATGGACAGACAATATTAATAAAATTATAAATGTACACCCCACATAAGTGTACCAAAGAGAGAGAAAAAAAATTATAAAAAGATTAAATGTATACAAATGGTTACTCTAAATATTATATCTAATTTTTTTTTTATCTTTCCTCTTTGACTTCCATCCTTCTCAACGTATAAGACTAGTGCACTAACTACATTTATTTACAATGGATTCTATATATAAATAATATTAAATCTTCTTATTCATTAAACAAAAAATAAATATATTTTAATTTTTAAAATCTGAAATACCTTTGAAACTGTAGAGAATATAATAAAAAGATATAAAACTTAATTGTACTTTTAGTTTTTCTCTAATGTTAATTTTACTCTCTAATTTTTTGAGCTAATTAAATCTCTTTATTTTTAAACTGTATAAATTTAATTTTCATCAATTTTATTTTTTAATCAAAATTTTAGAGGATTGATAATTAAACTAAGACATAAAATAATTTAAAAGTTTAAAAGTAAAAGCTTAATAAATAATTAATAAATTTTAAAATTTGGGTAAGACATGAGTTTAAGGTTTAAAAAGAAAAAAAATTAATTTTTTATATTTTATTACAGCTAATAAATGAACTATTCAATCATTCAAACCAGTCCGTTTTAGATAATAAATTTTAGTAGCTTAGGCTAAAATGTTCTAATCTAATTTAAGCTTGTAAAAATATTATCCATCCATTCAAGCCTAATTCTTTTTAGACTTTTAATAAGTTTTGATAACTTAACAAAATAGAGTTTGATCAAATTGGATTGAAAATACCAAAATTTAATTCAAAAACAAAATTTAAAATTTAATCCTTATATTTTTATAAAGTAAGTTCAAGCTAACTCGACTGAATATACTCATTTTATCAACTTTAAGTTTAACTAATTAATTTGTAATAGATAACAATTTAATTTGTAAAAAATTTTAATTAAAATTTAAGAACTTTAAGTAGAAAAAAATTAATGAGTGAGTAAAATTTTATAATTAAAAAACTTAATTAACTCAAAAGAAAGTTGAGAAATTAAAATAACACATAAGACAATGATCAAAAGTATAATTAAACTAAAATATAGTATTGCTCATTGTTTATCTCTCGATAAACTAAAAGTTGAATAATATTAGACTTCTTTTAACGATTTGTAAATTTATTTTATTATCAGAATTTCAATTTGATTCAACAATTAATTTATCATGTTATAGTTAAATATCAAGTCATTAGTAACATTGACCAATATTTAATTTTTATAAAAATCAAAATCAATAACAACTAGATGCATGGAATAAATTATAATTTGTTTATATTTATTTTATTAAATAGTATAAAAAATATTATAAAAACTATCACATGATTTTTTTAATTTATAGCATAATTTCAGATTTTATTAAATTCACATTTATATCATGCATATGTTTCTTACTTTTTTACATTTTAGTCTTTTGAGTTTTTTTAAAAATTTAATAAGTTTGAACATTCGTTTTCATAAAAAAGTTAGAAATTAAATATTATACGTAAAACATGGTTAAATTATATATTGAGTTCTTATCTATGAAATAATCTCTATGTTTAAAAAAAATTATATTTTAGTTTTTACACGACCATTTTACTATATTTTAACTCTTATCATGAATGTTTTGGTCACCGTCGTTAACAATTTTAACAATATTATAACTCAGTGACTGTAATGTAATAAAATACTTATGGACTAAAATATAATAAAATATTCATATAAAGATTAAAATATAATAAAATACTTATATAGGGCTTAAAACATAAATTTTCTTAAATTTAAAAATTAATACATAAATAAGTATAATTATAGAGATTAAAAGTATATTTAAACCAAAAATAAATAAAGTTTTTATGAACTTATTTAAAAAATATTAAAAATGAGCCACTAAATAAAAGAATCATTAATTTTAAAGATACTCAAAACTTATATATTTAAGTCAAATATCATTTATTGTTTAAGATCATATATATTAATTTATAAAAATTATTACTTTTGTAAATACATAAATCAATCAAAAAATAATTATTATAGTTAATAAAATACTAAAAATAATTTACATATAATAAAAACTTTTTATTACGGTTAAAAAAAATCTAAACATATGTAAATTTTTTGGATAGATATAATAGGACAAAAAATAGAAATTTTTAAATATATTTTTAATTTAATTGATAGAGCAAGTAAAAAAAAACACTAACTAATAAAATTTTGAGTTGATATATAAGAATTGTTTGCTTATCTCATTAAAAAATTTACAAATTTATTCATATAGAAAAGTTAATTCTATAAAATTTTAATTAGTGTAAATTTCAAATATCAAATATATTAAATATTTTTTATATAAAAAAATTATTTTTTGAATACATTATAAAAATTAATATATCATATAAAAAATTTAGACTTAATTAAGTATTTAATTGTTACAAAAGTTGTACAAACTTAATTAGAATATTTAAGATCAAATTATACAATATTTTTAATTCCTATATTTCATATGCTTACAAATTAATTCCTAAACTGAAGAAAAAAAAAAGGTTACATTTTAATTTAAAAGTTAAAAAAATTACATACTAGTCCTTATATTAAAAATAACTATTGTTTTAGTTCATACACAAGTACCTTCTTTTTTAAGGTTGTTACAACGGCAGAAACCAAAATATAAACTATGAAGAGTAAAATGTAACAAAATACTAGTATAAAAGCTGCAACCTAACTTTTTTCTAAATATAAGAACGAATTAGTAAATATGTGTAAACTACACGAAACTAAATCTATAATTTAACCATGAAATATTAAGAAGCTTTAAAAGGCAAGAACCACGTTCTAACAGAAGTTTACTGACAGAAAAACGTTTCAATTTTAAGATAAAAAAATTCCGCAAACTGTAGAAAAAGGAAAATCTTTGAATTGTAAGGAAATGAAATTTCCGCAAACAGAGTCTCAATCTACATATACTGCCATAAATTATAAAGAAAAGAGAGGAGAGGGGGCAATCATTCACATCAAATATATGCTATACAAATTAATAATCTCATTAAATCCGCCTCAATCAAAATTCTGGAGTATCTTTTTTATGTCTGATTACTTCTCTCTCTCTCTCTCTCTTTTTTTCTTTAGACCGTAAGAATAGTGAATAATTCTTATTTGTCACCACTACCTGACTCAATTTCTATCAAAATCGAGACTGTAGAATCAACTTCTACAAGTCTCTGCTCTCATTACCTAAAAAAATGGGAAAAAAGGAAAACTCTTAAAATCAACGACCACATGGCTGAATACTGGACACTGGATAAGGTAAGAAATTTAGGGTGGTGTAAATTATGTAAGTACAGTTTTAACTGCTGCTCCCTGTAGCATCACCGCCATTTGAGAGTTGAGACTGACTGGTTGGACCTTCATCTTTAGTTGTTTCTTCCAGAGTATTAGTTTGAAAATCAGCTGCCAAGTTATTGTGTCTTGCTCCAACAGGAGATACTGAACCAGAATCAGCACTTTGCCGAGCAGAGGGCAGCCATTTCATCCACTCATTGTGCCTCCTCAGCTTGTCACCCTGCAGCAAAGTTGAGAGGGAGAGAAATATACAGTTAGACAAAAGAATTAATTATCCTTCAAAGATTCCTTGATGCTTTATGCCAGTGAATAGAAGTGATATGTGTACAAAAAGTGTGCCAAGTGCATAATTTGAAACATTGATACATGAAAAATACTGTAAAAGAACAGGTTACCTGCACTTCCACAATAGTGGAAGTTCTCAGGGAGTCCAATATCAACGGAGTGCTGCTTGTCAAACTTCTAACCTGCAAAAAGATATTCCATAGAGCAAAAGCAAACCTAAGGTGCTAATAAAACAAATCAATGATAAAAACTCACTAATCGCATCATAATCTACTGTTAAACAACAGTTCTTTCTGCAATAACCACCTTAGTCCCAACACACACGTCTACACACATTCACCAGAAGTACTTCAACCATAAATCGAGTTTAAAGAATCATTGACAGATTACGGCTGAAATGGTCAGTGATTTTCAAAGCTAATATAGCAAGTCCACAATTTAAAGTAGAATCTTAGAACGCCTATTTTGGGGAACAATATACAAGAAAAAAGTCATCAAACTATACCAATCTACAAGGAAGTTCTCTTATCTATGTCCTAATTTTACTTTTTCACAGTAAAATTTTATTTTTTTTTCACAATATAGTAACAAAAATATTGTCACTGTGTAATTTATTTTCATAGAAGACATAACAAACTAGAATACAAACAGTGTCAAAATTAATGGTCTCTGTTTGTTTACTTTATTTTTCTTGATGATACAATAACTTGTATGTTTGTATTAATAATAGTGATCCACTAGCTGAACTGCCCGAGACATGTAAACGATCCCAGAGTATAAGGTGAAGATCAAACAATGAATCTAAAGCTCACTCAAGCACCCAGTCAATTTTGACCAGTTCCTTAAGGATTCCACCATCAATAATCCATATTGGCTGTACTATATATACAGATAGATGTATCAAATTGTGGTAGTAAATGTAGGAAAAATGTTAAAATGAAATAAATCAAATGCACAACAAACTTAATATCTAAAGCTCACTGAAGCATATAGCCATCCTAAACAGTGGCATTCATCATTCACAACAGTGCCATGGTATGTATTCAACAGAAACTTTGAGCCAACGGATAATTAAAAGAAAAAACAAAAGACAAAGCTCTTCTTGCACAAGCAATATTTGAAAAGTATTAAAACTCAAACAGTTACAAACAACAAATAACAAACATTAATCAAGATGTAAAAAGAATATAGCATTTGCAGATTCATATTATTAAAAAAAATCCTATTTTCTCATTTCTAACAGCCATTTGTGGCAACATTACTTTCATTTTTACAGAATATTGTTGAAAAAAAAAATCACTTTTAAAGGGAAAAATGTATCTTTCTTCGTAAGAGATAGATGAAAAGTAACCATCTATATGTAAAACTAGAACCAGCAAAATGAGTCAATCGGGATGTAAAAGTTAAACAGCACCAAAGCAATGATGCCAAATGAGCTTTAGGGTTAGCTATGAAAGAAAAAAATCCTGAATGACAACAATTTATAAAAAATAATTAAAAAAAATGAATTCTGCATCTGCAAGGCAAAGATTTATTCAACCATACAACCAAGTATGAGATGTACAACATATTCAAAGGCTCAACAGAAAAGATACAGAAAGTATTGCTTTAACCACAATTAACATACTCGAGGGAAGCTTGCTATCAAAGAAACGGGAACCCAACCCTGTTCATCCATCTTAGATCTTAAATACTCATCTCTCACTAAATTAGCATCACTGTCAAAAACATATCAGGATGATTAGATAATTCAGTTGTTAAAATTTTGTTGACAGACTACATAATAGACAGCAGATTAAATTTACCTAAAGTAATATTCAATTTGATTGACTATCATATTGGACAGAGGAGATTCTGGTGCAGGAAAGAATGCTGTAGGCGGAGGAGGAGCATAGAATGGCATGCCCCTAAAGTGATCCAATGGTACTGTTGGATAGTAATACAACTCTAAAAAGTAAAAGGAGCATTAGATAAATTTTAGTTTGTGATTTATTTTGTAAAAACACAATTGGTGGAAAGGAGAAATAAACCAACCAGGAAATCCAATAGGGTTAGCATATGGTCCAATAGGCTGAGGGCCCACATATGCAGCAGTACTAGGTGGTGGGTGCCTCAGTAACCCTCTTGGAGGCATCCTTGGTTGGGGTACATTAGCATCTCTAGTATTCGTGTAATTTCCACGATCCTGATCCCGTCTGCCAACATAATTATTATGATAGGAACCATCTCCTCGTGGATTGGGCCCAAAATAACCCCTGCGAGAAGAACCCCGATGCTCATTCATCGCAGGCACAAAACCCCCAACTAATGGTCTAGTATCCCAGTTATTGCTCCGGTACTGATCTCTTGGAGCAGGGTCAGGAATCACTGGTACCATATTAGCATAGCTAACTGGAGGGAGCTGGTACACAGGAAATGGTGGGGGTGGTGGTGCTGTGGGGGGGTTGGAGAAAATGCTCTGGGCAGGACCAGACCCAAGGTTGCTGCCACTCACCCGCTTCACTGATCTTTGTCTGTTAGGCATGCTATAATTTGTTGCAGAATTAGGTTTTGCATTAGTAGTAGCTTGTTTCTGAGGAGATTGCGAAGTTACCAACCCCTGCAACATAGCAAAAAGATAAAACTCAGCACTAACCTATATTATTAATATAGATTTAAAATCCTTCCTTACCAAGATATGCCCTGTTTGATAATCACATATTACAAGATAAACAAAAAATTAGTTTTTTTATCATAGACTATTCACCGTGAGCCTAATACATTGCAAACAACCCTTAGACTAAGGTTTTATAATTTTAATATACATTTGCAATTTTCATAACCAAACTTCATAAAATGTTGTCAGCTATATTATTTACAGCAAACCCAAATCTATAGAAACAATTTGCAAGAAGACAATAACATCAACCATAATAAGTTTCATAGATTAAGCAACGAAAGAGAGCACGGCATACTTCTTTCCTACACTATAATTTTAATACTTACTGAAAAAATCAAGCAATAAACTAAACAGATATATTTACCACAAAAAATAATAATAATTACAATAATCATAAGAAATAGGGCATGCATTGTAATCAAACCTGAGAAGTGGAGAGTGATCCATCGGCAACAGTCTTGGAGGACGAGTCAGCTGGCAATTTAGCAGAAGCTTTGGTGGATGCAGACAAAGCGGGCCATGATTCAGCGCCCATTACAGGTCCAGCCTCGACGCCGCCGTTTGAAGCCTTGTTCCAAGCGGGCCTCTTAGAACGACCCGCATTGCCCTCACTACCATCAGAATTATCTACAATACCACCCGAATTAGAATTATCCACCGGCGGCGAAGCCGGAATCGCCCTTGGGGAACAATCAGACGACGGCGCTTGGTCGGCAGCGAGGGACGACGTCGACGATGACGACGGCGGCGGCGATTGGTGAATGCTGGCCGCTGATTCCGGCTCACCGCCGCGAACGACCTGAGCCCACGGAGAGGAAAGGTTTTTCCGCTGGAATTTAGGGCTATTACTTTCACCGGGCTGCGCCGATGACGGAGCACTAGGCGGCGAGTGATGGTTAGAAGATTTAGCAGTCGTAACCATTGATAATTAGGGTTTCTTTTTCTTTTTTTCAGAGTGAAAAAACAAAGTGCAAAGATTGATCACTATAGAACCAAAGACATGAACAAACAATAAACGAATCAGTAAATTAATACATAAAAATGAAAAACCTGCAAAAAAACACGATATGAATGTGTGAATTAGGGTTTCTAAGGGTGGAATGAGACGAGAACGGATCTTAGTTGGGGAAAGAACCCTCTCATCACAAAAACTGCGATCTCTCTCCCTCCCCTTCTTTTACTACTCTCTCTCCCCTTTAGACTCAAAACAACCCAAAGAACTTAACCTACTTATTTTTTCCTAAGAGAATTTGAGATTTTATTTTTTCTGAAGAGGTGGTACCTTAAAATTAAAATTGAGAGGATATTATATATTTTTTAAATTCGAAGTTTGAATTTTTTAAATATATAGATAAATTTTATTGATCTTTAGAATTTATAAAAGATAGTGATAATTATTAATAAAGTAATTTGAAAAAAAATAACTTGTAATTCTTCTAATATAAAAATAAATTTTATTAATTTTTAGAGTTTATAAAAGATAATGATAATTAATAATTAAATAATTTGGATAAAAAATAAGTTGTCATCCTTCTAATATAAAGATAAACCTTATTAATTTTTAGAATTTATAAATAATAATAATAATAATTAATAATAAGGTAACTTGACCCAAAAAAATAAGGTTCAAAATATACTAATAAAACATGATGTTACTGGAGTAAGTTATTGAAAAATGTTATTAAAAATTAGTTTAAATATGTTTTAATTACTTTTAAATAGGGCTTATTTTAAATTTAGTAAGTAGTAATTTAAAATAAACCTTATTTAGAGGTAATTAAAACATATTTAAGCCTTAAAAATTCTGGGTTTAAATAATATTTTAATTTTTATACCTGACTCGAATTTGTAAGTTAGTCTCTATATGTAAAAAATTTGTAAAAAAATCCTCATATGACATATATGCATGTATTTTTAATTTAATCCCTGCTGTCAAGTTTAGAGTAAACAATGTTAAATAAATAAAGAACTAAATTGAAAATAAATGTAGCATGAAGACTGATTTACAAATTTTTTACATATAGATACTAACGTACAAAATTTTACATATGGGGTATAACTTACAAATCTGAGTAAAAATATTTTTGTAAATTTGCGATACATCTTTAGTTTGTATCTCAATTTTGATGGTATTGAAGTTTCAGATAGGTGGATGTGGGTGAGGGTGAGGGTCAAGATGGTAAAGTGATTGAGAAGAGAAGATAATTCAGTAAAGATTATTAAGATTTGATTGAGTTTTAGGGATGAGAAGTTAAGAGAAAAAGAAACTTTATTCTCCATTGAAGTTTGTAAATATGTGTTAAAAATTTATAAATCAGTCATCACATTACATTTATACTCAATTTAGTCCCTTACTTGTTTAACGTAATTCATTCTAAACTTAACAATAGAGACTAAATAAAAAATAAATATATGTATGAGGATTGATTTATAAATATTTTATATGTAAAGATTAATTTACAAATTTGAGTCAAGTATTGAAACAAAAACATTATTTAAACCAAATTTTTTAAAGCTCTTATACCTTTTATTCTAAATATTTATTTAATTTCGTTAATTTGAATCTTTTTCATATTTTCAAAATTTGAACCCATATAAGTCAAAAATAGAAATATATTTTTTAACTTATTATATTACCTTGGTTAAATTAGAATTTTAATTTACAATATATATATATATATATATATATATATATTATTAATAATATCATCCGTAACATCAAGTTTAAGTATTTATTACTATAAATTTATATCTATTATATTTAAATTATAATATTTCATAATTTCTTTTTTTACAAAATAATATTGTTATTAGTTGATTACTTTTATGTAAGACTTAGGTTAACATTTATTTTTGAACATTAATTTAAAAACTTAAATTTTGATTTTGATTTTGATTTTTTTTCTACTAAATGAGATTAAAAAGCCTAACAAAAATAATCAATAACTTACTATCGTAGAAAAAATTATCTCATAAGTATTTTTATATATATGAAAAAAATATAACTTAGGAAGAAGAAAATAAATTATCATTTTTTAAGTATTTTATATTGGATAACAAGTTAGCACACTTATTAATTTTTCTAAACATATGAAAATACTAATGATATTACAAGAATGATAAGTTATCTAATTTCTCTAACTAATGGTTGAAACAAATGACATTAGACAAATAAGAAGATATAAGTTGGATAACTAACTTAAAATTCATCTCTTCTAAAATATGGTTGTAACTCATGTCTTTTACTTGGCAAAAACTAAATAAAAGACCTCAAAGTTCACCTTGAATTGCAAAACAAAAGTTTAGCTTATACATGAAATTCATCAAAAAAATCCTTTAAAAATTTCTAATAAGACGTCCGCAAGTTGCCTTCTTTCTTAGATAATATGTGAATAGAAGGAAATTCAATCTTAAGGTTATTAATAATATATTTAGTATAACTCTAAATTTGAATTAGCAACACTATATAACCTGTAACTTTATCATTAAATATGAAATTATTTTTGTTGTTTCACATCTAAATTGATACTCCAAATAGAGTATTACATCTAGTAATATCATCTAGTAATATTTCTTTGATGTTGTTTTCCTATATTAGAAAATAGCGATTGATTTAGTCCAATACTATATAAAGAACTTCATTTCTACTTTAAATTATAGAATAAGGAAGCAATATCCTAAATATGCATTGTTCATTTATAAGAAAAATCACTTAGAAAACTTATATTTATATTAGAAAAACTTCTTTTCTTTCTTTCTTCATTGATTAATAATAGTTTATCATGAGCACCTTTTCACAAAAAGGCTCTAATTTTCTAAGGATCAGGCTAACTCTAGATAAGATAAGTTTATATATAAGGTTATCATCTTCAATAAAAAAAAGCATTGAATTGATTAACAAGTTATTAGCAATTTTAAGAGTAAAGTGACCATTTGATACAAAGGACCAACTCTTAAATCAAGAGGAATAATATTGGTAATTATGTCACATTTTTTGGGAATATATTTTTTTAACTAAGTCTTAGTTTTAGTCATTATGACATACATAAAAAGCAACTTAGGGAACACTAGAACAACATGTCCAATTTAGGAAAACCAAAGATCCAATAGTCTTTTTCTTGAATGTAACAATTAGGTTATCCTTAGCTATCTAGAACATGCATTTCTGGATAGTAGTCCAGAGTTTTGTAATTCATTTTCAGATTATTGAACAAAATTTTAAGGTGGTATGATTCTTTTCTAAACTATTTAGATTAACTTTGTATTTTGCTTTAAACAATTGCACCCATAAAGAGTCCAGAAAGTTTAAGAATTTTTAACCAAATTTAAACATATACACTCTATTAACTTGTTTAAATCCCTTAAGGCCTTATCCAACCCCACCCCTACCATCTTAGGTTTTGGCAAGCAAATTTTGTCCTAAGAAATTAATTAGGTGGCATTTTTTTTATGATTGGAGAAAGACTTTCATATAAAATATTTGTATAACTTATTCATTTCTTCACAAATACTAACAAGGATTAGATGAGTTTGCATGATATAATTTGGTGTACTCATAACATAAGCTTGAAGGGCAACTTTCCCATCAAAAGAAACAAAATTTATTTTCTAGTTTGAAAGTCTTTTTCTAACCAATTAATCCATGATATAATTTTTTAAAATTCTTATTGATGAAAATAAGAGAACTCATATATGATTCCAAATTCTCGTAACATTCAATAGCAATATCTTAACTTATCATAATCATATCTCTCACTTGATAGACGATATTGAGTCGCTATCAAAACAACTAAATTTCGTTAAGGATTTTGTAATATAGAGCTCAACTTAGGTTGATTCACATAGACACATTTTTAGTTAAATTCAATTTTAGATTTTTAAAAGAATGAAAGTAAGATTTTGGGAGTTTGAAAACTACAAATTAATTAAATTAAATTAAGAACAAATTAAAATTAAATAAAAATAAATTAAGAAATATCAATTCATAGAATACCAAATGTGTGTAACTCTGATTATCACGGTATCTAAAGATTTTAATTTGAATTCGAACGTTTACCTAATTCAATTATTAATTTAATTGAATAACCTAATTGAACTAGATCACGTATTAAATCAAATTATCATTTAACCTAACCTTAATTAATTATCAAATTAGAATATCAATTGAATCCTTATTTGAATTCTAATAATAGAAAAGTTAATCACGATCGTAATACATAAATATAAGATTAGAGAAAAAGTGAACAAACTCAGAGCAATTTAGCTAAGAACTCAAATCAGATTTACAGTGTTTGAATTCTGCGGATTGAATGAGAGGTTTAGCCTTCCATTGAAGCACTTACCCACTCAAGAATGAGAAGAGAACAAGAGAATTCAAAAGAAAGTAAAAACAAAGATTCTTATTTTGGCCAAATCTCAAAAACTCAAAATGTCTAATTGTACACCCTAATTCAGAATCTTATTAATCTAATTATAAGTTCTAATTAGGGTAAATTAAGTGGCAAAAATTTGGGCCTCAATAATATCTAAAAGCCTAAATACAATTATTAAATAACAAGGGTTCAAATGCAATCCTGCAACAATATTTAGCAAATCTTCCTCAACTTCAAAAACCATAAAAAATTGAAAACAACTCCAAATCCAGCGATCCATATATGGATTTTGAAGCTCTAGATGTGTAGAATTCAATGCAACTAGAATCAGCTAAAAATGATATCTGTAGACAAAGTTATGGCCAAAAAAGTAGTCAGAGGTCAGAATAACCGAAAATACAAAATTAAAGCATTTATTTGTAACAAGCTCAATTTATTCAAATAACTAGAAAATGATAAAAACTCTAAAAATAAAGCATATGAAAAGTGTTTATTAATTAAAATAAAACTATAAATATAAACTTAAAATATATTACATCAAATTTCCCCACATTTAAGACTTTGCTCTCTAGGGCAAATCACAAAATTAAACCATGGGAAACAAAAAACAAACTAAGCTATGTACAAAGCTTACCAAGTTCAAATATCATGACTAGAATAGAAATCAATCCTCACACTTCAAATTGACAAATGAATAGATCAAATCAAGTGAACGAACCATAAAAGATGGAATTCTAACATGACATACTATCAATCGCTCAAGTGTATAAGATAAAGTGTATCACTCAAAACGCACAATGTAACGCCATGAATTTTGTAATATTATTTAGTTATTAATGTATA